TGGAAAATAATTTTAAGTGCATATTTAAGATACTTAAGCTGATTTTTTATTGATTTGTAACTTCTGATCTAGGCATTGATCTTAATGTACAACATATTCAAAACAAGTTTCTAGCCTTTTCAAATTGCCGTAATTGCCTTTCATTTTAAAAAACTCTATCCTAGTAATTTTGAAAATTGCCAGACTGAATAGATCATCAATCAGTGTGCATCATAAGATCTTTTATGCTAGACATAACAATTGCAATTCCTTCAAGTGAACAGAAAGGACATTGTTGGGAGGGAGGGGGGAGAAGGAGGAGGGAGGGAGGTTTCGGTAATTGGCCACAATAATCAACCACATTGTATATCGACAAAATAAAATAAAATATTTTTTAAAAAAGATCTTTTATGCTAAGTTTTAACCCAAAACATTTTCCATTTCTAAAAATACTTGGTCTAAAAGGGTGAAATGGAATATAAGTGCTGGTGTTTCTACTGCTGCAAAATAAAAAGATTTACTTTAGTGACAAGCACAAAGCTGATAGGTTGGTTTCTTTTATTTTCAATTAATGCCCAGTGAAAGACCAAATTTCATTCTTATCAAGGGCAAGTGTGTATCCTTATTAAGTATTCTGCATTTATTTCACATGTGCAGTTTATTTTGTGAAATAGAATAGTTTCACATGGAATACAAATGTAGAACATGGAGTAGAGGCCAGTGCTCAGAGTAAGAGGTCAACAGTGAAGATTGGGAGGAGCCTTTGTTTGCACTAAAGCTAGTGGTTAAGCTTTTGTTTAACGACACATCCCTAATGTGAATAGTCAAACTAAAGTTTATCCTTCTTTCTCAGCAAATGTTGTCATGATCATGCCTTACAGAAATTTGCTAAGAGCTGTACATTGTTGAAAAGTGGTTTCTTGGGTTTTTGTTTTTCCTGACTTATTTTCATAGACTGATCCCATTGAGAACACATATATACGGAATCCAAACGTCAAGTTTTATATCCAGTCAAGATCCACATCTCCTTCCACTAGATGTGGAAGTTAAGAAGCTGAGCCAGTTAAGGTGCCTCACTGGAGTAACCTTGTTCCCCAGCTATTCACTTGTGTCAGGAAAGAAGGAATTGAAAAAATCAAGTGAAATCTGTTTCTCGTCTCTTAATTAAATATATTGTGTAATAAATTACAGTCTATTAGAGATCATTACATTTAACTGATAACGTAGATAGGAATAGAAAACTAAAGTAGCAAATTGTCCCCCCAAATTCAACCTGAAATAGACAAAAGAATTATTGAACTATAAAGGTGGTCTTTATTTTAGAACTGAGGACAGGGTTATGTAGAATTTGAAATTAACAGATAGAAACTTTGCAGGCACGATGTGGCAGTGCATGTGCCATTCTCATTTTAATTCTGCTAATAAGTTTGATAAGCCATGATACAGCTGTTACATCATAAGTTCAGCTTAAAAATAAAATTGCCACTGTTGGCAACTGAATAGTTTATCCGAACTGCTAAATCAGCAACAGGCGTTTAGCTAATTCATGCCTTTTAATAATGCAAAAAACAGTGTTGTATTTATACTTCATGTCAATGAATGGTTTTAAACAGCCATTGGGCCGATTTTCTCAGCAGAGATCATTGCCTCCACCAGTCAGACAGGTGTGTTGTAGCTCAGTTCTTGCATCCTGCCTCAAGATGCAGTTATGGTTCTTCACTCAGTACCACAGTTAGAGTTCCTTTGTCTCCCACTTTGTAATCTCCAGAGCTGTGTCTAGCCTTCCAGTAGGAGCAGGTGGTCCACTCTGAAAATCTGTGTGAAGTGTGAGTTGTAGTCAGGTTCTGACTTGTTTTTTTCCAACCCTGTGATAGGCTCCCTTAGACTGCTTAAGTTAGTGAGATCCTCTGGGTTTTTTAAAATTGTAATTGTTTTAATACTTTGAGTTTATATATTTTTATTTTAATGATAAAATATTTCAAGCATACAGAGAATAATATAATAAACACTCATATAACCATCACCCACAGACTTAACAGATGTGAACATTTTGCCCTGTTTTTTTCAGATTTGTATTCAAAGAAGGAAAATATTCCAGAAACAGTTGAAACATCCTTCCCTATACTGTTCCCCTCTCTTCTTACGCAGACATATCTAAAAATCCTGAAGCTGGTATACATCCTCTGTTCTTTGATTTTACATGTTTATTTTATTTGTATCCATAGATGATATATAGTAATGCTTGTCATGTATTTAAAATTAACCAAAATGTTACCTGTTTTCTTCAGCATCTTTTTTCATTCAAAAGTATGCTTTTGAGGTTTATTCATATCCATTCATGTCCATTTAGTCCATTCACTGTAACTACTGCATAATGTTTCATTGTATGAGTATGCTACAATTTATTCATTCTCCTATTGTTGGGTATTTACTTGTTTCCAATTTTTTGTTATTACAATTAGTGCTGAAGTGAACATCCTAATATCTTTCTGCTTTTGCAAATGAACAGAGTTTGTTTAGCATAAAAACTTAGGAGTAGAATTACTGGGTTATATGATATGTGCATTTTCAGCTTTATCTAGATCTTGCCAAATTGTTTTCCACAGTAGTTGGACCACTTTTCACTGCCACCAGCAGTGTGTGAGAGTTCCTCATTTCCCCACATTGTCACCAGTCCTTAGCACTTTCAGATGTTAACTTTTGTCAGTTTGATAGGTATGAAGTGGCATTTTTGTTTTAACTTGCATTTCTCTTTCTAGTATTATTCAGCATCTTTTTATGTGTTTATTGACCAGTGATGATTTGCCTGTTCATGTCCTTTGCCCATTGTTCTATTGAATTATTTTTCCCATTGTTTTGTAAGTGTTCTTTATATATTCTGCACACTAATTATTTGCTGGCTGTATACGTTGCAAATATTTTCTCCCAGTCCGTGGCTTATTTTTAATTTTTATTTGTGGTATCTTTTTGTCCTGCAAAACTTTTTATTTTAAAGTAGTCAGATTTATCAGTCTTTGCCTTTATGACTTCTACTATTTCTTTTTAAAGCATTTCTTCCCTATGCAGAGATTATAAAGATTTTCTTCCATATTTTCTTTAAAAAGTTTTAACACTTTGCTTTTACATGTTTAGGACCTCAATCAACTGAAATTTATTGCTGTGGATAATGGGAAATGGGGTTCTAGTCACTTTTTCCTGTATGAACAGCTGACTCTCATATTTTCCCCCGTTGATTTGTAATGCTGTCTCTGCTTTATATGCATGGGTCTGTTTGGGGGTTCTGTATTCTCTTCCATTCTTCTTTTGGTTATTCCTACACTGCACCACATTGTCTTAATTACTATAGTCCTAAAATAATTCCTGATACCTGGTATAGTGATCCACCCCCACCCACCTGATTCTTCTTTCTTTCTTTATCTTTTGGTTTTCCATATTACTTTTAGGGTCAACTTGTCAAGTTCCATGTGGGGCTTTTGATTTGAATTTATAGATTTATTTAAGGAGAATTGACATCTTCATGATATTGGGTATTTCTGTCTATGAACATGATGTACATATCGATTAGGTATTCTTTTACTTTGTTCAGTACAGTTTCATTATTTTCAGTGTACTCCATATTGCTTGTTAGATTTGTTCCTAGGTACCTTAAATTTTTGTTGCTGTGGTGAATGGGATCCTTTTTCTAATATGCATTCTTATTAGGCATTGCTGGTCTTTATAAACTCTGTTGATCTTGTATCCGCTACCCTTCTCTTGGACTTTTTATGTAAACTCTAATGACAATTTTGTTTCCTATTAATTGTTTTGTCTTAACTTTTATATGGATTTTTAGTGTTCCTCTCTTTTATCTTTTATATTTATCCTTTCAAATGTTAAATGTTAAATTAGGTTCAAAACTTTTTCAAGCTGTTTAAAAGTAAATTTTAAATTAGAACTAAACTTACTATTAAACAAAACTCTGAGAAGCTCAACCAAATTCCATTTTAAGGCTATAATGCATATAAAATATTCTATTTTTGAAAGTTGTAGAGTAATAAAGGTATTTTTCTCTTGATATTTTAAAATATTCTGTATCTTTATGCAAGGGCTAGCTTTTCCTCTTTTTTGCCTGCTTAGTATCCTAAAAGGAAGTTATTCTTCATGTCCTTTTTTAATACTTTGCTAACTAAGCAACATCTCTTTTTTTCCCACAGTAGCATCCGATAAAATCACTGGTTCCTTTCTTCCACAGAAATATTTTACAATAATGCCTCATAAAAGAAGACTATATTTTACATAGCTAACTAATAAAGATATGGTTTGTAACTAAATTTGTATTATGTTCTAATTTCCAATAATATTAAATAATCTAACTCCCCTCTTTGGAAATTAATATCTACACAAAAATCCCACTAACCTCAATATCTGTCTATCCATTTATCTATGTGTTAAAAAACACAGAGTTGTATTCCATACATGTGACATATGTTCTATATTTGGAAGTCAGGTCGTTAAAAGAATCTGTTAAATATTTTTATTATAAATTTTGCTAAAAACCCTTCCAGATACTTCTTAGGATTAATATGGCTAATTCAGATGAGTGTGAAAATTAATATCCTTATTTTTATGTAGGTTACAAGCTGTGCCTTTTTTGTATGGCTAATTCAGATGAGTGTGAAAATTAATATCCTTATTTTTATGTAGGTTACAAGCTGTATCTTTTTTTTCTTATTTTTATGTAGGTTACAAGCTGTGCCTTTTTTGTTTTCTTCTGAGGATTTTCTTTTCCAAATTATTTTTAAATTTTCATAGTGAAATAATTTTTATGAATTGAGCAAATATTTCATTTGTAGATATCACAGGCAGAAATTTAAATTATCAACACTAAGAATTTTAGCTTCATTGAGAGTTTATTAACTAGTAGAACTTTTTGCCTTATTGATGTTTTGTTTGGTTTTATTTACTTTGGTTTCTTTCTAGTTATGTTTGAAGTAGATGGAGTGTTTCATGACATTTATTTCGTTTTTTGCCTCTGGGTTCAGATTGTAGACTGTACTCCACTTCCAGTTCACACACCAACCTTAAGGAAAAAAGGGTGTCCTGGTTCAACCGGCTTTCCACCTAAGGTACTCAACCTAGTTATAAGCATAGTGTGTTCTGGGGGGGGGGGAGGGGAATGAATTTCTTCTTTGTGTATTTATGTGATTTTTTTTTATATTGCTTTCTTCAAAGTTACAAACATGAAAGCTTGGAAAGAAAATAAGTTCTGAATGAATGGAAATAATCACTGAGATTTGAAGAAAGAGTGTACAAAGTTTTTTCTTTTTCATGTTCTTAAATTCAGTGTTTTGAAGTCTATTATAATAAAGAGTAGTGCTTCCTACAAGTACTGTATGCCCAAGGAAGGCATTAAGTTGAGGTCACTTGAGGAAAAAATCTGAGACTGAGGCTAATGAACAAACCAGTGAAATAGATGAATGTTTAGTGAAAAATTTAGATGGATTCTTTCCTTCTTTTTTATTCTATTTAACATGACTATGACTGAAGTATTACATGTGGTAGAACATGAAGATTTTGTTGCTTATCTCAGGCATCTACAAAGAAATTCTAGAAATTGGAAAACTGAAATGATTTGCCTCCTCAGAACATAAACCTTGGGTAAACCACAGAGTGAGAGAGAGGTCAATGGATCTGAAAAACTAAGAAGATGTATAGAAAGTAAAACTGGTATAAAAGAAAGACAACAAAGTGAATAACCTTTGCCCAGATAAAGCAAAATTTTGAGGCCAGACAGAACATGAATTTAAAATAAGCATAATTAAATATCCTTAAAGAGATAGGAAAGAAATGTGTTGGCAACATGAGTCAGGATAAGGCAGTTAAGAAGAAAAATAAATTGGAGGTACTTGACATGAACACGTAACTGCTGAAATAAATCAATAGCTGGCTTTCCTAGTAGAATGATCAGTATGCATAGAGCAGAAGAACAAGTCAGTGAGATGGAAGGTGAGGTGCTAATGAGAATAGATAAGAAAAACTCATGCCCAGACACATTATAGCAAAATTTAAGAATGTCAGAGATCAAGAGAAATTGAGAAATTTGTGCAGTTTTGAAGAAAAATAATTTTAATTTAAGAATTTGAGCCCAACTGTACTATCACTTAAATATGGGAGCAAGTAAAAAAATATTCTCAGATATATAAGAAATTAGAAGGCTTACTATTACAAAAACCCTCTTTGAAAATACTCCTAGAGGGAGTTCTTCATCAAGAAGAGATATAAAGCCAACAAGTCACTATGAGAGATTTGGGAAACAAGGTGAATAGGTATTTTAGAGGACTTTACTGTAGTCTATAAAAGCAAGGAATCCCATTTCTACAAAAATCAAAGAAGAGAAAATATGTATTCAAAACAGTCCAGAAGTAATCCAAATAAGAGCACAGTGGGGGTGAGTGTGAGGATCAGGTGAGGTGAGCATGTTAGTGTGTTTTTCTTGTTCAGGGAGAAAGTGTAGAGACGTATGCCTGGTGGTTAACATGGTGGATTCCCAGACAGACTTCCTAAATTGGAATCTCAGCTCCATCACATACTAGCTGTGTGAGCTTGAGCGAGCTATTTACCTTTCTCTGATTCCATCTCCTCATCAAAAAATGAAGATAATGATAATACTTATTTCATTGGGTAGCTTTGAGTTTTAGATAAGCTTGATATTTGTAAAGAATTTAGAACAGTGCCTGGCATAATGTATATCCTATAAATATGTTTATGTGTTTATAGTATCATAAATGTTTAAATAAATATTGATAGCTTAATAAGGAAATTAAGCATAAGTATGGGTCTCAATAAATTGAAGGGAATAAATAGAAGATTAGCAAATAAAAGGTATAACCTTCAAACTTATACAAGGATATATTATCCAATGAATGGAGACAGGAAAGGAAAAAGAGAAGAAAGGAAAACATAGTGACCCAGTATTTTTGCTATGTAATAAATTATCTCAAATCTTGCTGGATTAAACCAACCCTCTTTTTTTTATGTTAACAATTTATTAGGTTATGAATTTGGGAAGGACTCAACTGGGAAGTTCTCATTAGGAAGTCTGCCATGTAGTTGCAGTCAGATATCAGCTGAGACTGCAGTTATCTGAAGGTTCAACTGGACTGAATGTTCAGTTCCCATGGCAGGCAATTGATGCTGGCTGTTGATTAGCTGCACATGATCTCTTCAGCATGACGGTCTCAGTCTTCTTACGTGGCAGCTGGTTTTTCCCAGCATGAACATACCAAGAGAACCAGCTGAAAGTTTCATGGCTTAGAACAAAGATGCATGGAAAGGTAGAAAGTAAAGGAAAATAGAGGTCACAGTATTTACTACAAAATAGAGTTTGGGGTACAAAACATTAAAAGGCATGAAAGAGGACATTGTATACTAATAAAGGGAATAATAAAGAAAATATAATGATCATGAGTGTATATGGACCTAACTTTAAAAGCCTGAAGCTATATAAACTGAGAACTAAAGAAGCAGATTAGAGATAGAAATGTTAATACTCCTCAGAGAAACAGTATAGTAGAGAAAAAAAGCAAAGCAGAGGACAGACAGAGGGTTAATTTCTTCCTATAAAAAGAGCTTTTATAAACAAATGAATAAACTATGCAGTGGTTAACTGGCTGAAAGCCAGGAATAAGCAGATGAACAAATCAAAATAACCAACAAATGGAAGAGACGTTCAAACTTACTAGATTTTGGGGGAAAGCAAATTAATAATGAAGTATCCCTTGACATTCATGACATATATATCCTCATTAGTAATAGGATAAGATGACACATTACAGGTGGGAATCTGAATCAATATCACCTTTAAAAAATCTGTCCTTAAACATTTTTGATTGAAAACCCATGTCAGTGCATCTTTAGAATCCAGTAAGTAGAAGGTTCTGGGAACTTGATAGCAATGCAGTATAGTTTTTGTATCTCACTGAATCTCCCTATAAAAACAGATAGACCAAGTAGATAGTGAAATTAAAAAACCCACAAATGAAATATAAGCAATAGTAGATGAAAAGGTTTTCCCACAGCTCCAAAATGCAAACTGATAGAAACAAACCACCAGCATCTATAAGACCTTCCTTATGCTAGAGAAAATTGAAGCACAGCAAAGGGACTTGAGATAATCCTGAAAGCCAGAAAACCACCAAATCACCATCAACTACTGCTGGAACATTCTGAGAAGAGCAGCAAAAACTGGGAGGGGACTTTGCAAGTTCTGTTCCACAGCTAAATGTAAAGGAGATATGACCTTAGGAAGATCAGGCGGTGCTGGTGTTACAAATTCTCAAAACTAACAAGTCAGAATGCTCTTTCAGATCAAAACCTTGCCCTATGGAGAAACAGCTGGGAGTAGATTCAGAATTGAGAAGGACAGGGAAGGAAAGAGAAAGTTCAGATAAATAATTAGAGGAGGCAAAGATCACAGGAAGTATGAGGTCATATTTTTATCATTTTATGAAAATAACAGAAAAGGGAATCTAGTACCATCAGGCTAGAAAAACTATCCTGGCTCACCCCTCCCTCATAAATATACAAGAAAAGTCATTTACTTTAAAAATGAGCAAATGAAAAGAATTGCAGCAAAATCTTATACACAGTTATTATAAGGAAGAAAGAAACCGAAGAACAAAATATCTTAATAAAAAATGAAAGTTTGCCAGAAAGACATGTCTACAAAACTGGTGAAAACGACAATTTCAAAAGAAAATAGGAAAGTGATAGAAACTGTGAAATAAAAAATCAGAAGTAGAAAAACCTTAGCAATGAGGGTGTTGGGGAAAGAAAGATGTGAAAAGAGAGATGAAAGAACTAAGGGAAATTAGAATAAAATGACATATAATTTCAGAAATATAGACTAACCTATGAGGAATTCAAGAGCAAATAAACCCAACACATAATGTTCATTAATAAAAGATGGAAAGGAGGAATTTTTTAAAATCAAGAAATGAAGAAAAATTAAAAAGAATTTGAGAAAAAGTGATGGATAGAAAAGATTGACAAAGAAGAGACATATTTGTATAATATGAGTCTTCGGAAAAGAAAACCAAGGCAATGAAAAATTCTAAGTTACGTTGCAGAAAATTCTCCAAAACAAAAGAATATTTGAAACTCAAATTACAAAGGTGTATGACATAACTGAGAAAATCAACCCAGACAAAACAAGACATATTCTAGTAAACTATGGATCTGTTAAGGAAAAAGAAAAATTAGGCATTCAGGCAAAAAGTGTAAGTCACTTAAGGGGAAAAGAAAATGAGATTATCATCAGATGTTTTGATAGCAGCACTATGCTTGAAAATAATGGAATAACATTTAAAATGCCCAAGGGAAGTGTGAGTCAAAGATTTTTAAGGATTTAAGATTTTAAGGTAATAACACATCCTCCAAGACTAAAGGCCACAGAGAACTATTAAGAACATACAAGAGCTCAAGAAATGTTCCCACGGCCCTTCCTGAGGAATGTACTAAGAACAAGCTTCAGACAACCAGAATGAGAAGACGCCAGGCACCTTGAGAGGCAGCAGTGAAATGTAGGGGTCTCTAGGGAATTGGAGAATTGGCTCAAAGTCCACGTAAAGCATTATTAGACCAGCTGTCGAAACCAGACAGCTACTCCACCTCAGCAATGTGTTAATTTTGTAGAGTAATTAAACCAAGGAGACCACAAATTCAGGGATACCAGGCTCACTGGTTGGTGAAAAAGAGAAGTGTCAAACCCTGGTGAGATCTGGCAAAAGTCTACACACCGAATGGTGAGACCCCAAATGCTTAACACCCAGAATGCTGGCACTTGGGGTACACAGCCTCTTCCTCACCACCGTCCTTGGAGGGTCTCAGTGGGTTCTCTGAAGAACCTGAATGGCCCGTAGGAGACCTATAGATACTGGCATTTGAGTGACAGTCCCCAATGAGATGGGTTGGTCCTTTCTTAACAGGCACATGTGTATTGCTCACATGTGTGAACACACACACCCCCTTCCATTTAGCTTTTATATTGCCTCACTCTTAAAAATGCTCCAATTCCCAGGAATTAGCAGACATTTTAAGAAATTCTCTAACAAAATAAAAAGATCAA